CAAGGGTTCACGCGTTTGGCCAGTTTGATTCAGGCCACCCTGTACACCTCCGACGTAGCCATCGTACAGTTATTCCACCACGTTACATAAATAAATTTAAAACAAATATCAAGGATGGGAACAGGCTCTTCGCTTAATTTGATTTATAGCGAACTTTTTATTGGAGTCCCATGGCGAGCGATGCTTTTTTCAAGGTAACGCACATCACGAAGAACGGCCAACTTTTCCTAGGTACCTCGACTCCAGTTCTTCTATGATTGGTTCAGTAGTACGGCGTTGGCCAATGGTAGGGTTCGGTTCGTAAAACCACCACTTTGCGCGTACGGTGGCATTCGTTTGTTTGCTATTTTTATTTTACTGTGTCTAAAAGAAGTTATTTATCTGCAAGTGCAGTGTAAGTATCCCGTTTTGTTTATATCTTGGATTCTGTTTTACAAAAAAAAAATGTTTTTGAGGAATAAATAAATTGGAAAATGTTAAAAAATGTGCCTCTGTTTTATTTTCGTAGTAACTTTGACTAGTAGGCCAATCAATAGAGAGTTTACGGTGGGCAGGAAGCAACTTTATATCGCTTAAAAATTACGACAAAAACTGAAAACGGCCATGCATTTGTACTTGAAAATAGATTCAAAATGAGTGAATTGAAATCCTAGCTGCTCTTGTTTGTAAGTTATTCAAATTTTTCGTTTTTTATAGCAAGAATTTGTGGTATATACAATATTTAAGAATCAAGATGGTTAAAAACTTTTTTATGCCAAATTTTCAATAAATAATGAATTAAACTATGAAAAACTATATATTTAGTATAAAATATTCAAAGAATATAAATAAGGCTAGGCATATCATTGTGTGTGAGGGCCACTCATTCACAGGCGTTTTTCATATAATTCGTTCATGAAGCTGTTGTTGCTTAAAAGTTATTTAAACTTTCCACAGAGAAGATTATTTCAGATTCTTTTTTTTATTAACAGATATTCGAAATTTCTTACCTGCTGTATTATTCAAAAGGAGCTCATCAATGTCATTGATATTAGCCTTAATTTTTCTTCTTAAAAAACCAGTTACGATTTGATTTTGCTGTTTATCAGGTAGTTTTTCCACTAAATTGAGAATATTGTCACGAGCACTTGAGAAACAAGGACCTTTACAATTTCTTGAAAACAAGGGTAACGAATTTCTAAGGAGGTTCTCTCTTTATTTTTATTTGTTTTTGAAGAAGCAGTTTGCAAAGTGTTTTCAGGACCCTTATTTAATATTAATTTTAGTGGAAACCTGCCGAATAAAACCTCTATCTTGTTTTACTGTTGGATGATTAATACTTCGAGCTGTTAGGCAAATGTAATCAGTCGCAAATCGCCATCTGGCTGGTTGCTTTTACCAACTTTATATCCTCGTAATTAGGCATAGAAGGAAGGTCTTTTCGAATTACCATGTTTTTCTAGTTCACTAATAGTTAATCTGCAACTAATACAAATGAATTTCTCATTATAAACATCAAATTGATCACTAATATTATTTTTAATTAATGCAACATATTTTTTATTTAATAATAAATGTTTAGATGGCTTATTTTGAAAAACATTTTTTTTCCGCAAGGTGCACATACTTTCATACGGTTCTGTTCATGATCACATTTATGATCTAAATGTGGATGAAGAGACATTTTATTATTAGACCATTAGGTGGTTCGATTTTAATTTTTCATCCGGATTTTAAAAGTAGAGGTATAGTACTACAAAAAGTATATACTAATTTTCCTATAAAATGATGCAAAATAGGTGAAAAATTCCTCCGAACATGCTCAAAAAACGTCCGAGCGTACTTGTAGTGGGGGAAGGTAGGAAGATGAACGACCTACCTAGGTATACAATTTTGATTATTGTTTATTATAGTTTAATATTGTTAATTATAGTTTAATATTATTCTAAGGGGTAACATATAGCAATAAATAATACCAATACACAGAATCACAATGATGTAGAACCTGTGGACATTCCTTGTTTTATTCCTGCATTTTTTGACATTTACGCGAAATCTTGACATCAAACGTGAATTTCAATGTTTTCTTACAAAATGTACTTTTCTGGTCCAAATAATAGACATATTTGGGTGTCCTTGTTAAGGAAATTTTAATTATCTTTAAATCGGCTAAAGATAAAAACGTCAAAATTTGTACACTAGTAAAAATCAACTGTGCGTTAAGAATAATTTGCAAACGGTTTCTTTCTGAAAAGCAGTGTCGCCCATACAGGTAATTGGAGGGGTACAATCGAAAAAAAATATATGTTAAAAGTCAAAATTTATTACATTTCTAAACGGTTCTGTAAACTCTAAAGCAAAAAAAGGTATACTTGTCGAAATTCGATATTTTCGAGAAAAATGAAGTTGCATAGAAGGAAATGGGGGACAATTTCAGTATCTACTGTAGTATGTATTTCGAGTTTGTACATTTATTTAATTGTGCAGCAATTGTTCTGTATGTCTCCGAGTCTGTTTCCTAATATTTTTCTGCTTTTATCACTTTTTTAAGCATTCATATCCACCAACAATTCAGTCCATTCAACAATTAATTGTTTATTTTAGTAATGGTAGTGTGGTAGTTTACAAAATCTAAAATTAGTTTATAATAGATACTTAATTACCATAATCTGTTTATTTTGATTTACTTTTATAAATTTTTTTTTAAACTGAAACAAAATAAATTTTAATTTTTTTTTTATTTATTTAATAGAATGTTTTACAATTTAGCTGTTTCTTGTGATACGTAAGAAAGAAAATTATAGTCTTAAATGCAAATACTGTTGGTAGATAAATGTCTTCAGCTCATTCAATGGTAAGGTCCTCTTTCAATTTAATATTTTGTTAATGTACTTGTACCGCTTTATGTGCACAAAAAAAATGCAACTTCATTTTTCTCGAAAATGGTAGATGCTACCGAATTTCGACAAATATACCTTTTTTTGCACTATCCTTTAGAGTTCACAAAACCGTTTAGAAATATAACAAATTTTGAATTTTAACATATTTTTTTTCGATTGTATCCCTGCAACTACCTGTAACGGCGACACTGCTTTTCAGAAAGAGACTGTTTGCACATTATTCTTAACATCCAGTTGATGTTTACTCGTGTACAAATTGTGACATTTTTATCTTTAGCCGATTTAAAGATAATTAAGAAAAACCTTTTGTAAAGTAACAACTTCAACACCCTGTATCTCGAAAACAGAGCGTCTAAGAAAAAAAACTTTACATGAACTACTCCTGTCATTTTCCCATGAGGAACTTGCACACACATTTTTTTGAAACATGAACGGGACTCCCTGTATATCCATTGCCCCTCATCTCCTAAACTTCCTCCACTACTCGACCGCATAGGCGCGCTTGGCTGTTTTTGTGCATATTTGGAGGAATTTTTCACCTATTTTGCATCATTTTTACTTAATATGTAAAAAAATAACTTTTTAAATGAACGATAGCTTCATTTATTTATTTAATAATAGTAAAATAATTCCAAAATTGAAATTTTAATTAATATTTCCTTTAATAACAATTTTTGTGACATTTTTGTAAATTAAAAAAAAAATCAGTGTAAAAGATGCATTTTTTCTGAGGTTTAGGGCTATTCTACGAATTCGTAAATATGCCCATTGTTATTTTTTCGTCAAGCTATCCCAGTTCAAGAAAAAAGAAGTTTGTACGATGAATAGAAGCCGAGATATTGCAAAATTTTACAGCGCGCATCAATTTGAACTTTTCACGCGCGCGCGACTAGCTTGGATGAGCTTCCCCCATCACCACGCCGCGCTGGATAGTTTACTTAGCAAGTACCTTCTCTTTAAAGGGCTCGTGAGTCGTTAATTTCCCAAATTTTTCAATGCAATTCACGAGAAATCGTAGTTTACGTCGTAAACTTTATTTTGCGAAAAAAGTCTTAATGTTTATAAACAATTGCTCTACGATTTAAAAAATAAATCTTATCTTGACTCCTGTTGGTCGTAGAGGGTGTTTTTTTTTAAAATTTATATTTTTTTGCCAGCTATCCATTGCATCTATTTTCGGTGAGGTAACATAAATAGCAACAATTTGAGAATGTTAATATCAAAAAAACGGTGATATTTTTTAATAGGTCGCTTAATTACGTCTTTAAGGTTACAATGACGCTTTCAGAATCATGTTTGGTTGAAAAGCCTGTACAGAGGCTTAAAGTTCGTAACTTTTGAAGCCTACGCTATAAACAAATTGAATTGCGCGAAAACTATTGCACCTACAGCGCCTACTTTTGGCACACTTTTAAAGTATGACAAAACCCTCAACTTGTGGTTGGTTTTATAAAATTTTAACAATAAATGCGATAGTTATAAACAAATTAAAAAATGGGCACATTTCTTGTTTTTTTGCAATAACTTTTTTGTTTATTAACCGATTTTAATTTAACAAGTCTCATTTTGTAGATAATTTTATTCCCTACAAGCTTTCACTTTTCGCTAAAATTGTTGGTTTTCCCTGCAAAGTGAAAAAACTGTTTTCCTCACTTATTTGTTTAAATAGAAAAGTTAGCTATTAAAATTTTTTGACTCAGGAGATGAGAGATGTCTTGTGTTATGTTCTTTTAGACAATTTTACAATAATATCGCGGATAGGAATTTTTTCGAGTTTCTCTTTTTTTTCGCTAATTGACACATTAATGGGCGTAAGTTGAGTGTAATTTCATTTAACTTTTTTACATTGCACAGTTGTGGTATAAATATCAAATTAATTTATCGTAAATACTAAATATCAATCCCATTTTCCGCCAGTTCCAGCAATATTTCGAAGCGTTTATCGAACAAATATTTTCTCGAACGGTTTTTCACTCTTTTGCACTCGGAATAATCTCCAATCTCGAATACAAAGCGATACGTCGCAACAATAAAAAATAAACATTTTATGCATGAAATTCATCTATGATCAAACGCCGTTGTCGCCTCGCGCCCACTCACCCGATATTTTTCTTTTCGCAGCTCGACACTTCCCATCCCCAACGATGCCCGAGAACTGCAAATCAATCACCTTGCGCGACGCCAACAATAACACCTACACCGTCCCCGCGAGCGCCGTCCCCGCCGACAGGGGCGGCCGGCCCCCAGGGGCCCCCAAGCAGCGGAACATCCAAGTCACGGCTAAGGTGCTGTTCGGGTCCGTGCAGGCCATCAACAGGCTCAAGCAGGAGGAGAAGGCCGCCAGGGAGAATAAGAGGATATAGGGTGAGGATTAGTTTTTAGTTTTCTTTCTTTTTCGCTGGGTGAGCCAAAAAAAGAGGGCGAGAACTATGAAGCACATTCAGAGCCTTTATAAATGTTTACAAGCCACATTAATGATTCGTTTACAATGAACAATGACAAACTGTTACGTTACGTTCGATCTCTGAATGATTGAATAGTATCTCGTGAAAAATTATACCAATCACAGATATTGGAAACAGAACGTTGTGTTTTAATATAACCTTGATCTTACTATTTTAGTAATTTTTAATTTTACGATAGTCTTGAAAAATTTGGCCAAAATTATTTCGTTTGCCAGTGTCAGGGGGTGTAATAAATTTTGAGCAAAAAAATTCCTTCCATTTCCAGGTTTTCTGTGTGTTTTTTTTATTTTTTTCCCAATTTTCCAATTTTGCGAAGATTACTCTATTAGTTTCTATTTTTCGGTCATTAAAATTTCTTTTTTATCTCCCAGGTAGATTTTTAAAAGTTTGGTTATTCCGAATATTGTATACTGGCCACCATAAAATTGGCACCAAATAGGGAACAATCTTAATTATGGTTTTAGAAAGAATTTTTCTTCCAATAACACAGGCCGACAAATAGTCCAATCACTGAAGCATTTTGGCTACCAATTTTTTAGGATGGAATGGATTGACGTGAAGTTTGAACTGTAGCTAGGGAATAGCTCAAGAAACAAAAGTTATATAGTGCCGATGTGTGCTTTTACTCTAGGATTGGATGCCACCCCTTCTGGAGGGTGGGAATTTTTTTTATTAAAAATAACCTCACGATTCTAAGCAAAAAAATGTCCTATAAGAATTTTTTGTACAGTCAATACTTTTTGAGTTATTTGCGCATAAACATGTTCGTTTTTAGCCCAAATAATGCATGTTTTTGAGCCATTTTTCGCGAATGTCTCAGAAACTACAAGTTTTATCAATAAAATAATCATAAGCAAAAATGAAGGTAATTAAGTAGCAAAGAGATTGCTTTTTTTAATTTTTGTAGATGGTATAGAATCCGAGGTATGACTTCCAGAAGTTGAAGTCAATTTCGAAGAAAACTATAATCGAAACGTTCAACGTCCTGTAGTGGAAAAATTAAAGGTTTTTCGAGGAAAACTTATATACCACCTATTAAAGTTCTTGAAAATACCTTTAAATTGAGTGACGGTAGAAGTCGTTAGCATGAAAACTAATGAAGTTACAATCAAAATAAAATTATTGTTTTGATTTTTGAGAAAAAAAAAATCGGTATTAAAATTAATGACTTGACGGAAAAAAAATTAAACGTATTCCTTCTGCAATTTACTTTATTTATGTATTAACAGTAGATTCTGGGAATTTGAACGATTTTAAAAGCCTAAATTTAAAAAAAAATTTCATTTACCTTTGAAAAAAATTTTTAAAATTTTTTAAAAATCGCCTTTTTTCAAAATATTACAAAAAAAAATTATAGAATAAGAAATTGTAGGTTTTTTTCTTACTGAACAATTTGCTTTTTTTAAAATTTTTGTAGGACCAAATTTGACTGAATTATGACCGTTAGAAGCTCAAAACTAAACTCCAAGATTGCCTTTAATGAGACCTTTTAGCTTACAAATCTAAAAAACGAAGGGCTCAAAAAACTGCAAATCGCAGAACTTAAAGTGCTTTAAACTACCTACAAAATGTTTCTTTGAGTAAATTTATGACTTTAAAATTACAAAAGTTATAGTAAAAAAATTAATAAAATTTTCGGTGCGGGTAAATTACCATCATATTTGTGTATTTTAGAGCACTTGTGAACTGATTTGAGTAAGTATTTTAATAATATACATACACACACGTATCCATTTATAATGTAATTTTTTATTTGTATAAATTTAATAAAAAAATATTAAAAATAAATTCAATAAAATTAAAAAAAATAATAATTATATCATCATACTCACATATAATTTTTAGTAGATTTTTCTGTAAGGGGTAGGTCATCCATAAGGATTTTTTGGGTGGCTGAAAAGTTGCAATATATCATAGATCATTTGAAAACCAATAAAAAATTTATAATTCAACATATGCATACCATTAAAACATCTCAAGCTTTCAATAATATTTTATTTTATTATAAGGGATAGTTTTTAAGGGTTGCAACTTTGTAATGAGTCGTAAGCTTTCTAATGAATAACAAAAGAAATACAATACATTGTGAATGCACCAAAAGAATATTTTAAACTGTTAAAAAATTTTTTATTTCAATTCTTTTGGCCATGGAAGGTTAGTTTTTAAGGATTTTTAAGGGTTGAAAAGTAATTAAATTTCATAAATTATATTAAAAAACATGAACGAAACTTTATCCAACATATTTGAACATGAATTGAATTTTTAAAATACGTAAATCTGCGATTTTCGCATTTTTTTCGTACAAGGGTAGTTTTCACCAACAAATAGATAAAAGCACACATCTAGACAACATAACTTTTGAAGTGGGGGGTCAGATGAGCTTATATGCAAATTTTCAGGAAAATCCATGCTATCCGAAAAAAATGGGAGCTTTTACTCTATTTTCGCCTTCAGTGATTGGACTAAAAATATGACTGACCTTCGGAATCGGGAACAAGACCTCATATATGCTTCATCACTTCAGGTTTCCGAGATATCCTAGCCTAAATGTGCGTGGAACACTTTTTTCACTATATTTGAAATTAGATCATCACGAGGTAATTTTTCTCTACAAAACTCGTAACGGTATTTGAAGGTACTGCTCTTCTTCTTCAAAATCCATTTCGAATGTCTCTTTCCCTCTCCGAGAAGTTTGTTTGATTTGATTGGTTTAGTTTTCTTGTCGATATCCAGAAGTTGATGCATTCCCAATTCCCATTGATTGTACAAATTTTCAGGGTCGCTGATTACGAATCTCGAGATAGAATTACAAAATTAAGAATGGCAGATGTAAAATGACAGAAAAGAAGAAAAAACTTAAAGAACCAGTAGGAATTTAGGTGTTTGTAACTTGACTCTTCCGATGCCACTCATTTTCCGAAAATCGACGAATACAACAAGCTAATCAAATTCAACAGACTATCCGAACGACTCAAAATGGATTTTGAAAGGAAAGAGTAGTAGGTATTATCAAATGCTCTAACGAGATTTATGAGAGTGATGTAACCTTGGGTTAGGATATTTCAAAAACCTGACATGACAGAGCAATTCTGGAGCCGGATTCAAAGCGTCAAAACCTTTAACGGATGGTATTAACATATCGGAATACCGAAGTCGAAATTGTATAAGTAGTAACATCTATTAAAGAAAAGCCAAACGACGAAAACAAAGATGATCACCGGTCGCTGAATTACAAGTGGATCTTATTTGTGGAAGGGCGAAACGGGCGGTGACTATGAGACGCCTTCATTATAGCCATCCTTCTCTACCGTACGGATTTCTATGACTTACTTTATCGCTCTCACGTAACGGCCGATGAACCATGGGGACTTTCCGACCCTGTATACAAGGGCTCAAATGAAAAATAAATGAACCAACAGTAAATAAAAAAAATGAAACTAAAAACAGACATTTTTCCGTTTTATTTTAAGATTTTTTTTATAATACGACAATATATACAACGGTGTAACTAAAAAAAGAGGAGGAAGACACAACGACATCAGTAGTGGCATAAAAACAACTAGCTAAGTTGCGTTACTAAGTTGGTCCTTTTAAATGTATCATATATTTTTAAAACAGTCACCACGTTGGTTACTAACATTAAGAAGCTGACCCATTGATTAAAAAAAAGCTACTACAATTTTTTAAATTAAAAATTAATTGAATTTAACTTATGTTTTTGTATCTTTGTATGTACAGAGCTTTTAATCGACCTGTTTCACGATCATAGGAACATTATGCTTATCACGGAACTAACAAAATGGTAAGTATTTTTAGCAATTTTTGATATGAAATAATTTGCAGTGATTTGTTGCGAAAAAAGAAAACTGTAATTGATCGTATTGTGAAAACCTAACATACATTAACGAGGAAATTGCTATACATTTGTCATTTCATTAAACGTAGACAAGCTTTTCCATAATTTAACGCTCTGTTAGACACAGACATATGCATAAAAATAATAATAATAATAATTGCTCCTGACAATCTATATGAATTTATTAATTGTATTTTTTATTACCTGTACCAATTAACTACTTATATAACGCCGAAGGCAAATTATGTGTATTAATTGATTGAAATATTAATAGAATACAGTCGAGCTTTCGATTTTTTCGTTTTTTGTTTTGTTCCTTTTGTTGCGTAAGATAAGAGCTGAATCAACGTATTTTTTAATATCCTCCAAAGCAGCTGGGTGCAGCTGAAGGCACAGAAAGGCACTATGTATGCTGAAGGCAGTGATGTAGTTATTTTTTAATAAAAAATAAATACAAGTAGCTCCCCTGATTCTCAAAGGCAATTATTAATAGGGCCGTATTTGCATACTTGAAATCCGGCCACAGACAAATTTATTTAGTTTTTTACATACTTTCCAATATAAAAAAACTTTTATAAGAGCCTGTGCACTATTTCAGTTAAAGAGTCTATCAACAAAAATCAGTATTTTTTTTTATTCAATTTTAGCAATCTGACATCTACAGGGTTGGCTGTAGGCAATAAATATCAGAAAAGTTAACAAAATAATAATTTTCTACTCATAAGGAAAGCGATTGTAGAAAATAATGAACAGTCACAGGCGCATCTCTAAGGCAGTCGAAGTTTTTAATAGATGTAAGGTGGCAAAGCATCAACTTCTTCACATTTTAGGAATCTCACTATCCGCGCCATTTTACAGTAACATGTACATATCTGCTTCCATTCTGAAGCTTCGCATCGATCAATTTATTCGATACATATGAAGCGCCACTTTAATGCCTACCCGTCGGCCTGGATTGCCGGTGAACAATATAGATTACTACTGTATTTGAAGGGCCTTTCAAGATTTTTGCGCAGTCAATTTTTTTAAACTGAGACACCCT